TTAAAAAAGTCATTATTATTTTGTAATTTAATTTAAAAAGTTAAATAATTATACTACACCACAAAGTGTACATAACTCAAAAACTGTAAAACAAGAAGGTTCTGATACAGGGAAGGATGTGGGCAATCTAAAATTTAAAATCAATAGAAAAACCAACTCATTCATATTTCTGCAAACCTCTTACGTAAACTAAGGAGGGGGTACCTCTCCCAAACTCTCCCCTTAGCATACCGCCTTCGATTACCTCCCATCACTGGATTATCTCCCACCTGCCAAATAGACTTTTCTGCTTATACTCTTAAATAAATTTGGTAGCACCATGAAATTAAAATGATTGACTGTAACTAATTACGCAACGCGTTTCATCTGTTTGCAATATTTATCAAAAAATGATTATTGTTACTATAAGGTAACTAGTGATTTAAACAACGTTACATATTTATAATGCAAGTTTTAAATAACGTTACATATTCATAATGCAAATAACGTTACATATTCATAATGATAATAACGTTACATATTCATAATGCAAATTTTATTTAGTTGAATTAAAGAAAAATTAATATTGGCGCAACTGGCGTTTTTGTTCCATTCATTAAATGTAATCTTGGAAAAATAGTTATATATTTTTCCCAGCTTAACTTTTTTTTTCCTTTGCTCCATAAAATTTGTCAGTAAACACTTCTGATAAGAAAATTTTATAATTAATTAAAAATTCTTAAGAAACGCTCATTTCTTAATTAACTTTCATAATTGCACTATCTAGGAACACTTCTATTTGATAAAATGTAGAGTAAAATTTCACGAATATGGAGATCGACTTAAAATATCACAGTCAGACCTTATAAAAATTTCATAAATTGCTGTGTTTTTAAATTGTGGTTTAATTTTTTACTACCCTCGAGTTATTTTGATTGATTATTTTTTAAAAGCGCACCAAATTGTCCAGAATTAAACAATTCTGCGGAATAATAATTTTTTTATTATACTTAAAATGAGCTTAACCTTCTTGTACTAAGACGAAAAGTTTTGAGAACTTTTTTGGTTAAAAAAAATAATTATTTACATGTTCAAAAATCTAGTTATATGTTGTTAAATAAATATTTTTACGTTTAAAATATTGGCAACTATATTTAGGGTTTTAATAAGAAGGAACGACATCTGTTTATTACTGTTTTTTTTTTATTTATTCGAGTGTAGTAGTTGTTGCCTTGATCGTTTTAAAGCAAACGAGAAAAGCTTTAACTTTCATAGTATTAATTTTATTAAAGTTATTGTAAAGATATTCTAAAGAATTTGAAAGCCTTTAAATAAACATGAACCTTGCTGAGAGAAGAAGTACAATGAAGTTATTTACTAAAAATTGAAAAGAAAATTTTACTCAATATGTTAATCCTAATGTGCAATGAATTATAAATAGCTTATTGATAAATCGTAAATGTTTTTCTTGAAAATTACCTTACCTTAAACTGATATGTACGCAGTATTTAATCCCTATAAGAAACATTCTATTGTTTTTTTTTATTAAAAACTAGCAGCACAAAATAGCTTAGTAATTAGCATTCATTTAATTTGTAACAAAATGTTCGAGAAGTTTTTCCGTCGCCGTCGTGCCAGTCTTCGAAAAAAAAGCCAAAGTAAAGTTGATGAGTCTTATCATAAAGAAAGAACGAAAAGTTTAGATCGTGGTTTAACAGCTTTTAAAGAAAAAGGAGAATACGAATCAAAAATAGCTAATAAATCAATTTTAGAACCCCTATCTCCCCGTGATTTGGAGTTAGTCGATAATCCAAAAATGAGCAGAAACGGCAATTCTTTTGAAAGCCTTGGCGATCCAAAGAAACATATTCCTGGAAATATGTTTGAAGACAGTGTTTTAGAAGCAATTCAAATTGGAAATTTAAGTATCTCTGATTTTCTTAAATCTCCTTATACCTCGCCTAATTATAAAGCTACTACATTAGACAATTCAGAATATGATAAAAACAAAGCTGTAATCAATGGAATTTGTTCTTCAACATGTTGTAACTCAAATAAAAATCGAAGTTTATCACTTCTTGATAAAGCACACTCTCAAGATGGCGGTAAACATTCACTAAATAATTCTCATAAAATCCACCCTCAAGTCACATTATCGAAAGAAAAATCCGTACCTGATCTTGTAAACCCAGAATTAGTGACTATTTCCGGAAATGAACTGGATAAATCGCGATTTAGTAAATCATTAGAAACATTAGCCCAGGAGGTTTTTGGCGCAGAATACCAAGTTTATTTAAATTTTGCTTCTAACACTCCTACTAAAATACCTATAGTGACGTCGTTAAATGAATTAAAGAAAGCTAAAAACGATAATAATTCTCTTTGTGTTCAAAACGATACAGAGAATGCATCTAAGAAGGTACTTGGATCGCGAGCATTTACGGCAAAAGAGGGCTGTGTTATGAAATTACACAAAGAAGATAAAACATTTTTTTCCCTAGACCTTCAAGCAAATGAAATAGTTAAAAATAAGCCCCTTAAAAGCTGGAATAACGCCGTCGATTTACGATCTTCGAATTTAGTAGGCGATGGAAATTTTTATATGACTTCTATTTGTCAAGAAAAAGACTTTATTTTTAAAAAGCCTGAGAAATCGGACGTTTTACTTACTGATGTCTTGGATGATTTTTCAGAAAATCTAAATGAAAGTGTTTTTTCTCTAACGGATATTGAATTTCCTCCCCCACCTCCCTTGAATGATATTGATGACGATGAACTAAGCGGTTCTAAAAGACGACTTATGGAAAGAATAAAACATGAAAGCGGTGTTTCATCTTTCGTTTCTACAAAATTTGATCCATTAATTGAGTCTTTAATTTCCGTCATTCCTCAAACAGAAGACCATACAAAACTCGTTCAAGTCCTTACAACAGCTTTAGGTGAAATAGTAAATGAAATAAAATTTTCGAGACAAAAATTGCAGCGCATGTTTAAAGTTATTGAATTTCATCAGCAGATTTTTAAAGAGCAAAATAAAAAAATTTCATCGCAAGCAATGGAGATCATGCAGTTGCGTCAGGCGCTTAGTAAAATAAATAACATCAGCAACATTCTAGTACCACATTATAGCACCTGTAATTTTACCCGGCGTTCTGAAAGCCCTCGGCTTAATCGTCAAGGTAATGAAGTAATTGAATTAAGTGATACTTTAGATAAGTTGATTTACCAGTGCGCTGAGCTACAAAGGAATTCTAAAAATGACAACAATGGAACTCTACAGGAACGTTCATTGATGCAAGCAGAATCATTGCCTGTAAAAAAACTAAAGAGAACACATGTTATACAAGCATCCACAGAATTAGAATGACCAATTCTGTGTAATGCAATATAATAAAATTTTTCATTTCCAAAATTTAAAATTAGAAAATTTTATTTTTAAAGACCTAGTTTTCATTTAACAAAATTGCTCCACGTGCATTTCATTCCAAGCTCAACGTAGTTAAGACAAACAAATTATATTTAAATCTATGATAATCTATATAATTTAGGTTTTAAATGAAATGCAATAAATAAAAATTTATAAAACTATTTCTTCTTGTGTTTTAAAAAAAGTTATTAAACTTTTTTTTTTCCAAAGAGAATTTAAGACTTTCATAAGGTCTCATTTTGAACCAGGCCCGTCGCAACCGGAGTGTCAGCGGGGGCATTTGCCCCCTCCCCCCAATAATATTTAAAATAAAAAATTTAGTTTTTAGAAAAAAAAGTTAGTTTTTAGAAAAAAGCAATTGATTACAAATTAAGATTTAAAAGAAAAAAAAGGATAGAAAAAACTTAATCTGTTATCCGTATTTTCGACGTATGTTCCTTTGACAAAATTATTTGACCTACTACTATTTGACTTACTCAGTAGTATTGCCCCCCCTCCTCCTTCACAGTAGCGGATCAGGGCCCAGGGCTAATTTTTTGGAGAAAAAATGACTTAAAAAAAAAAAGATTCACAGCACTGTGTCCCCCCCAAATAATTTTTTCAAAAGTAGCTCTCAAGAAATTGAGATTTCGCAGGTTTGGAAATTAAAGCTAAATTTCCATAAATATACCGCAATTATATTATATTAAATCAAGACATATAATGTCTTGATAGGCTTATTACATTTTAAATAAATTTTAAAAGATTGCTTGTAATGTAAGATCTTTAGTGTTTTTCCTTTTAACTATCTAATTGTTTATCTTGCAGATCAGATATTTTACGGAACTATCTTGATTGTTTAACCTAATAACCAACTACTAGTGTCTTGAATAAATGATTATTATTTTAATGAAATTATTTTTCCATGATAATATTTATCTTGAATAATAATTTATCTTGAATATATATATATATATATATATATATATATATATATATATATATATATATATATATATATATATATATATCCGAAATATGTTCTTTACTTTTTCACGGTTGATTATGAACTTTAATTTTGTTGTTGTCGTCGTGAAATTGTTTTGCTTGGAATTTAAGTATAATATTGATGCATTTGATTATACATCAAAAGAGTTAGAAATTTTTAAAAGTGTTTAAATCCATAAATTATCTAAAAAGCATGTTTTTTTCACTTAAAGTTATAATGTTCTCTATAAAAATGTGATGTCTTAAGTGATGCATTGGATTACTTTTTAAAGTACTTGTTTAAAAATGCTTTGTTTCCTAAAAAAGTTTATTCGGCGTTGGTTTATGAGCATTTGTCAAGGTCTTTGTAGTTTTTATAAAAGCTTTTTTAGTTTAAAAAAAAAACTTTATGAGTTTTTTCACAAGTGGAGGGTGCTTACTAAAAAGTCTTATTTCATATTTATTCAACACCATCGGTAAAAAGTTGCTTCCAAAAATAAAAATTAATGTTGACTATAGTACCAATCAGCTTTACACATGATGGGAATAAGTATTTTAAAAATATTTCCAATAATTATAGTCTGTTAAAATCTTTCTTTAGACTTATTTATTTTGAATATTTTTGCAGCATGAAGCGAAAATGGTCACGTTACTGGAAAGCATTAAAGATGTTGAAGCGAAAAAAAGATTATTAGAAGAAGCAGTAGACACCTTAAATGAAACTCTTGCAAAGCAGACAGCTAATGGTATTTACAAGAACATTTTTAAAAAATTTAACTTTTTTTTTACCCGAGTTTTTTGTATGGTAAAGTTTTTTTATTAACTGTTGTCTTTTAATGTAGAACAAATGCAGATTGCTTCTCTAAAGGATCGAGAAGAAAAGCAGGCAAAAGGTTTAATGGATGCAAAAGCAATCAAGGTAACAATCTATTGTATCACTTATTAGTATTAAAGCTCTATGATTGTTGCCAATCAAAACAATCAAGGTAGAAAAAATCTCTATTATTTCACTGATTAGTGTTTAAGTTCTGTTATCATTGTGATTAAATACAAAATTATATGATTCTTTTTTATTTTTTTCGATTATGCTTTTTCGGTGAGTGAGTTTTTGTTTTTTAAAGGAAGCATTAGAAGCTCAAATGAAACATCATGGAGAAGCCCATGCCAAACAGCTTGCTCTTCTTCGTGACGAAATTCAAAACCAATCAACTATTATTAGTGATTTAAAAGAGTAAGAAATTATTTATAATAATTTCTTAAATTTGAAATTTAGTTAAGTAATTAAAGTTGTGGTCATGATAATGTTTCTAAATACATATACATGACCACATATACATTACATGTTTAGTTTTTTTTATTATTTTGTTTAACAGAATAAACCAAAAGAGAAGTCTGGAAGAACAGCAAATTAAAGTAGGTTTTTAGATACGTTTGTTTAATTTAAAAAAAGGTATTATGCGTTATGTCAAAATAATTGTTTTTTTACGTTTAGACCGAAAATGAAAAACTCTTGGTTGCGTTGCATGCTCTAAAATCTAAAAACCAGGAGCTGGAGTAAGCCTATATATATATATATATATATATATATATATATATATATATATATATATATATATATATATATATATATATATATATATATATATATATATATATATATATATATATATATATATATATATATATATATATATATATATATATATATATATATATATATATATATATATATATATATATATATATATATATATATATTTATATATTTATATTTATATATATATATACATATATACACATATATACACATATATACACATATATACACACATATATACACCTTTGTTTCAAATTTTTTTGCCGACCTGATGCCGATGTCTAGAAAATTATTGCCGACCTCATTTTTCCTAATTCCGAGGGTTGATATATATATATATATATATATATATATATATATATATATATATATATATATATATATATATGTATATATATATATATATATATATATATATATATGTATATATATATATATATATATATATATAATGCAAGTTTATCGTGATGATAAACTCGCATTATATATTTTTTTTACTTGTCTTTTTTTCTTAGGGCATTGAACACAAAGAAGGAACATGCACAAAAAGATCTGCAAGGTTTGGAAGAAACTGTTGCTAGAGAGTTGGCAACTTTAAATAAATTACGACAGATGTTTGTAAAAGACCTGCAAGCGAGAATGAAAGTGGTATGTATTTCAGCTAACGCATTTCAGTTTGTTTCAGTACTATAACTGCCTTTTAATCTTGTTCTCCTATATGTTTAAGGCATCAGATGATGCAGACGGAGATGAAACTAACAGTCAAGCACAAAAACAGAAGATTTCTTTTTTAGAGAACAACTTAGAGCAGCTCACCAAAGTGCACAAACAGGTTATTAAAAACCATCTTGAAATATAAATAAATATGAATACCAAATGCTTTATTAAAGTTACTTTTTTATACTATATCCTTTTAGTTTATTATTTTTTTAACTTTTGATTTAGCTTGTGAGAGACAACGCAGACTTGCGTCTAGAATTGCCGAAGCTCGAGAAGCGATTGAAAGCTACTCAAGAGCGCGTAAAGGCATTGGAGGTTGCTCTAAAAGACGCTAAAGATGGCGCCATGAAAGATAGGTCACGTTATATTAAAGAGGTAAATAACTATATAATAATAATAATTTCAGTAGCCGTGGCGCAATGGTTAGAGTTCTTGTTTAGAACCTAGTAGTTCGTGGTTCGGCGCCACGAACGACTAGGTTCTACAATTTAAAAAAAAAAAAATGTACAAAATATTAATAAAATATTTTTTTAGGTTGAACGCTGGAAACAAGCATTTAACAAAAGTCAAAATGGTCGGCGAAACAATCAACCTCAAATTGCCAAGCCAATTCGACCTGGTCAACTGACCGCTGGTGTCAATACGGGCAGTGCCACAATAAAAGGAAACAATATAAATTTATTAGATGGTTCTTCAGAATTTCCTCGTCAACAGCAAGGTGCGATTGTTGCCCGCGCTTCTTCTCCTTCAAAAATACCAATAATTCCAATGAGTGGATCACAGCCAGTTATTAAAGGAGGTTACCGAGAAGGAGAAACAGTAACGATTGGAGGTACTGGAGTTAGTCATCGAGTCAAGACAGCAGTTGGTGCTGAAATGTCAACTAGATCGCTGATTAGGAGGCCTGGGAGGTAACTGTATTTTATTTAAAATTAGACAAACTTGTTGATTTATATACATAAACTTGTAATATTATTTCCTGACAGTTTCTATTACGTGATACTACCAATTATCTGTTTCTATATATGTATTTCTATATTAAATTTTTATAACTTTTAGCGATGACAAACGCAATTCCATGTTTGTCGAATCGACTAGTAACATGCAGTTAATTGAAGAGAACTTAAAAGGAAGCGCCAGTATGGATAGACTAAATATGATTGATTCTTCAACTTTAAAGGTAAGTAAATTTAAAACTATATATATATATATATATATATATATATATATATATATATATATATATATATATATATATATATATATATATATAATTTATATATAATTTATATGTAATTTATATATAATTTATATATGTATAGTATTGAAAAGTGTTTGACCTTGTTTCTATGATTTATGGTCAGACCTTTGTATCAAATAATTTTTGCCGACCTGATGACAACCTCAAAAAGAATGAGGTCGGCGAATTATTGCCGACCTCATTTTTTCTAATTTCGAGGGTTGATAATATAAATAATATATATATATATATATATATATATATATATATATATATATATATATATATATATATATATATATATATATATATATATATATATATATATATATATATATATATATATATATATAATTTTCTAAGATGGTTTCAACATCATTTATTTTTTTAGACTCCGAGACGTCTTCCGTCACCTGTATCGCGATCTCCTATCTCAAATAGTTTAAGTGGTCGTGAAGCTGAAATACAAGCTTTACTTGCAGGAGGAAAATCGAGAGCAAACACACAATCATCAAACTCGTCAGTCGACGGAAGTATGTTTTTTTTTAAAGTATGTTTTTTTTTCCTTCAATAAACTTGTAACAAAAATTTAAATTGGCTTTAGGTCCGTGGGAACGAAGAATACCAACGTCTCGTGGACTTAGTCCTCGATAATATTAGCTGCATTTAAGCAAATCATTTATGTTTTGGAGCTGAGCGTTCGTATGAAGTCAAACTTCTTCAAACATAACTGAGAATCGCTAAACAACTGATGTGAGAAATGCGTAATTTTCCAGCGTTATGACCTAGAATATTGAAGTAAAAATCAACGGAATTTTAATTTTCTTAAATTTGAAGTTCTCGTATATATTCGCATTGGACGTTTTATCAAATATTTCCGTTTTCGAGGTTCGAGGAATATTTCGAAGTATTTAAACTAAAATGACTTTTTCTATACAGTGATGTGTAAATATATTTCATAGATAGTAAAAAAGATAACCTTCAAATATTTTTGTACTAGTACATAAAGGCTTGAGCTTTAACAAACAGTTTGGTCAACAAGTTTTTGGTGATTTCTATATATGCATATATGTATAAGTTTGGAAAACAAATCATTTCTGTTTTTAAATTCGACTACTGTTTTAAAAAATTTGCCAAAAAGAATATATATGTTTTTTTATATGCATTTATGTTGCAACTATTGATTTATAATAAGAGTAGTTGTTATTGGCTAATTAATTGAATATCGTATATTGAATATTATTTATTAATTTTCATTTTTCATAAAGATATAAATTATTAAGATAACGAATTTTTTTATTTCCGTTCTTCAACAGTTACTGTGAATTGTGGTAAATCTAATTTATGAAGTATTGTTGGATGAATATTTATGAAATATTGATTGATTTTAAAATGTTTATGATATGTATTAAATATAGTGCATGGGATATATATATATATATATATATATATATATATATATATATATATATATATATATATATATATATATATATATATATATATATATATAACACGATAAATATTAACTTCGTAGATTAGGCACTCAACATCTATCTATTACACGTTTTTAAGTTATGGAGTACAATTAACCATTACATCTAATTCAAAATTTTTCAACAGAATTAAAATTATTTTGTTGTTATATTGTTATCGTTGGTGATAAAATTTTCATCTCGTACACTTATAAAAATTAAAAACGACAGAAACATATAACATCATAAAATGTTTTTCGTAATCTAAAAGTTTAGATCACATATAGTTCTTTCTATCATTAGAATCATTTTATTATAAAAGTTTATTTGTAGAATTTTGGCTGTTAAATTTAATTAAACTTTCTTATACAAATTTTCCTATAGATTATAATTTATAATTAGCAATGTCTTATTATTGCAATTTAATTATTTATTATTCAATTTTAATTCTTTAAGTAAAAAATGTTTAAAAATCTTTTTATCGAAGAAAGAAAACAAACGCGAATACAAGAAACTTGATTTAAAAGGAAAACTAATAGTACTAAAATCAATCAGTGAAAATGATGTATATAGAATCAGGTTAGACTTATTTAAAAACTTTGTTTTTCTTCATTTAATATATTATTATAAGAATTTAAATTATTCATAGATAAATTTCGCCTTATTTTTTATATATAAAATACTGGAAGCATATATTATTTCATTATATATTAAAAGATTTGATAATTAAATTGAAATTCATATAGTGATTTTGGAAGTATAGCTAAATCTGCTAAAGAATTCTCAAGCAGCTATTATAGGTAGGAATATAGTTCGTATATAGTTCAAACATTTTGTTCTTAAAGGTTCGATAGAAGTTTATTTTGTACATTTTAAAAGCTTTTGCTAATCATTTAGATAATCAATAGATTTCTTGCGAATCCAGTTAAAATAGCAGCATGCAACAAGTTGTATTACTCCAGTCTTTTTTGCAATGAAAACAAAGATTTTTGAGATGAAAACAAAGCATATGTTTACTGTCTTTGGAAATATCGGTTATACTAATAGTCTGTAATTTTTTTGAACATTAAAACCAGCAACAAGTAAAAAATACGTTTAAGAAAACAAAATGTCAACAATAAAGTCATATTCTAGTAGCTAATGCTTATAAATTACAAAAAAAATTAAATGTGTAATGCAAGAAAAACGTAGACTTGAAAAAATTCAATGTGTTGCAAGAAAAACGTCTAATTAGCTACTTTTGCATATCATTGTATTTTTATTTAGCTAAAGTATGCGATTATGTTTTTTGAAACTTGTCTTCTATATTCAGATATTTTAACACTGCCATTAGCACTAATATACAAAATTCTTTCCAGTTTGAAAATAGACGATTACAGTTTGAGCTGTAAATTTGAAAGCAAATTAGTTATGATAAGTCATATGGTTCTAATGATGGCTGTTGGTATTGCAAAGGAGATGTTTGTTTTAATATTAGTTGCTGTTAACAAGTTTGACAATCTTCTTTGGAACAGCTTGATAGACGTTATGTGAAAATTAATTATAAAATAAATCGCAAACATTTTTTCTATTAGATTTGAGTTTAGTCTTTAATCTGTTAAACAAATCAGAGAATGATTTGAATCTAATCACTTGAAAGTCAATTTAAATACTTGTTGACATACAAACTGAGTTAAGATCACATTAAAATGTACTTCAGTAAAGTTATGTTTAACAATAATCCATTTCATAAATTTCTTGGTTAATACCAAGAAATTTACGACAGTGATTATTACTACGCCTCTCACTATGAAGCATAAAACTGAGATTAATTTTGTTCAGGATGCAAATAATACACTCTGCTATAGATGAAATCGTAAGTCATCGCGAATAAAAATAGATAAATACCTACATACATACCTACATACGTACATACATACATACATACATACATACATACATACATACATACATACATACATACATACATACATACATACATACATACATACATACATACCATGGCCTACATAAAATACACGTTCAAAGCAAATAACTCAAAAAAAATTGCATGCGAAAATTAAAACTCGCACGAATTAAAAATATGTATAAAAATTTTTTATTTCATGTATTAAAAGCAACTATATTGTTTTTATGAACCAAGTCAGTAATAACTTTTCTATTATTGTTGAAGTATATGTTGGAAATAATGTGGCGAACATGATTTCGCCCCTTAATCCAGTGAGTGAAACATAAAAATGCTTCGTTGCAATATTGAGAACAAGTTTAGCTGCTTTTCTGTCTTGCAGTTTTGAACGATTTATAATATCTAAAACGCAATCAATATATGCAAAAACATTACAAACATAATCGATAAGATATGATGATGCTACTATTAGCCCAGATTTTGATAAAATATTCAAATAGTGTGTATTTTGTGAATCTATTGTAGGTTTACTACAAATGCAAAATTTTTTGCATCATTCTCCAAACTTTTTTGCAATATACCTAGCAATATACACTGCAACTTCACGAGATTCATCAGAGAGTATAATTTTATACACTGCAATTTCACGAGATTGATCAGAGAGTATAACTTCATGCACTGCAACTTCACGAGATTCATCAGAGAGTATCATAAGAGAGTTAATTTTTTCAAAGTTAATATCTTCTATTTCGTTTAAAAATTAATTTGAACGTGTCGTTTTATCATATATCGTTTTCTAAAATAATGATTGACTATTTTACCAAATATTTTATTTTTATTATTCTTTCACTATAGAAAACATCCTTCTAGCTTACCAGAAACCGGCCACCACTCATTTGGCGATATTGTATAAAACGCCTTTCAATTGGGTCACTTTGGAAACGAGCAGTCAAAATAAAGCCATCATTTAAAAGGTCTTCTATTAGAGATGCTTGGCATAAATATGTCCTTTATAAAGCTGAAGATGTTTAGGTAAGGTATTATTTCACAATTAGAACTTTTTCAAGTTGAAAGCCACTGTGGCATTGAACGCAAAAAATCAGGCTTCTTATCACTTTGAATTGCTGCTCTTCCAAGTCTATTACTAAAACAAAATTGATCTTTTGAGTTGGAGATTATCCACCACACTTGCAGAAAACTAGAAGCAACTTTCGAATTTGGAAAATAAGATTTTTATAGCAGCTATAGTAGTTTCATGAAAAATGTCAAGTACAATCTGAACATTCTATTTGAATTTGCTTGGCTGTAAAACTTTATTGCAAATTCTAGGAGCTTTTCTTAAATTTGCATCTAAGTTTTCATCCTTTTCATAAAATTCGTTCAACAGTTTCCTGGAAATTTTACCAGACATGATAGTAATATCATCAAAAAAATAACAAAAATGGAATTTAGGAAAAATATTTTTTCTATCTAATAAATTATTTTTAACATTTTTTATTAGGTGTACGACATTAAAAATTAAATTTTTTGTGATTGAAAATTTATAAAGGAACTTTGAGCATCTTGATCATGTAACTTCAATAACTTGGAGTAAGTTAAAATATTAATAGCATGGTTGTCACAGACAATACTTCTGACTCTAAAACCACTCTTCGTTAAAATATCTAAGCAGCTCGAAATTTCATCTTTTAACCAATCACTGTGTAACTGGCGAAGCTTGTATAATGCAGGGTATATTTTCTTTTAGCCCAATTATCTCAAAACATACAATACTTCTGTAAAGTTCATTATTATATAAAGTAAATTCTACTCCACAATACTCTGCACACTTTTGCAAATATATTTCATCAAATAAAACAATAATATCCTTTGATAAAGTATTATTTTCCATCGATAATTTTGCAATTTTCAACGAATCAATTTTACCTTTTTTATCTTGTTTAAAAGAGAAACCGAAAGTAAGGTAAAATGTCCAAGAAGAAGTTCATACTATTAAAGTGAAGCTCATACGATTAAAGTAAATCCAAAAAGAAGTTCATACGATTAAAGTGAAGTATAACGTAAAGCATATTAGATAATATCAGCTGAATAAACTTGACCTTTTTTAAATTGATGTTTTTTAAGTTCATTTAAAACATATATTTTCTGTTTTTTAAGTTCATCTAAAACATATTTTCTGCTTGTCTTTTAAGATACGAAGGAAAGTTTTCAAGCATGCTTTTCTTTAAAGATCTTTAAAGAAACAGTTTCACGTGCAAGTCTTTATCAACCTTGATACATTCCATAACTTTTGGAAATCCCTCATCATTCAATTCAAGTTTATAAAAAACAACATAGTCTACATATTTGGAAATGGTATATTCTGGTGGGCTGTGTGCTTCATTGATTGATTCTGAATCAAGTAGAGAATCATTTGTTAAAAATAATCTTCTTAAAAACCCTTATTTTAGGAGATCTTCTTGGTAGCGAAATCTTCTTGGGTCACCTAAATAACAAAACAAAAAAATTTAGAATATAAAACGACATAATTACTTACTCATAGCTATTTATTAAAAAAAGAAATTAAAACATAACAAATAAAGTAATAATCTCAATATTTTGTAATGTCAACCCTTTGCTACAATAACGGCTTACAGGCGTTGGAGCATGCTTTCTATGCAGTTTTTTGCATTGTGTTGTAGACTGGGGTTGTTATACCGCTCTTTTTTAAGAGTTTCTATCAACTGGTGTTTGGAGGGATGATTTTATTGGCAATTTCCCGGGTTCATATCAGTTGAATTACCCAGTCAAGGCAAAACGTGCACAAATTGTTCAGTTAGTAATGCTGTGACACTAGTCTTAAGGCACCCTGCGGAGTTATGCATGAACATATAATCTTCATTACAAGGGAACCATTATTGGACCTGGGGCAAGAGCCTGTTTTCCAAAACTCGTTTTTAATGGTTCTGCCTCATGGTCCCTTCCACAATGTAGAGGCAGCCCATACCCATGGTTGAGGTCACAGACCACACCATAACCTTTATAAGATGTTTAATCTTTTCCAAAAGGTGGAATTTTTCTCAGTCCTGGTTGAATTTTTCTGATGGGTGGCGTCAAACAAATGAGCTTTTGTCCATCAAAATTTGAAATGTTTACTCAATTGAACTGAACATTACAAAGATATTTTAAATTATAAAAAGTTTTTCTGGTTTTTTAAAATATTATATTTACTCTACTCCAGTTTTCAATAGTCATAATTTAATTAACATTAGCATAATTAAGCATAAGAATAATTTTTTTCAAATTACTTTTATGTAATCTGTTATTGCTATTTAGTTACTTAATTGCTAATTAGTTACTTTTACACGTAAAAGTAATTTGTTGTCATGTTGTTGTTTTATTTTACTTTGTAAAGTAAGTGTTATGTTTTTTTAATATTATATTTACGTAAGTTTACTTCATAAATAACTTTTTTTAGATATAAAAAGTAAATTACATTTTGATGTTAATTTTTTATATAATTATAACCAAAATTACTTTTCAAAGTAAATTACTTTACACGATCGTGTAAGTAAAAGTAAAAATGCAATTAACTTTTACTTGTTAAAGGAAATTCCTTTTTCAAGTAACAGTTATTCATTTAAAAAACTAAACTTTAGTAATTAAGTTTCACATGTTACGAAATTTACGTAAAAAAAAAAACGAATTACTTTTAAATGTAAGTAAATTATATATTTTTATATGAGTTATGTAGAGTAATTTACGCTTAAAAGTAAATCGCGTTTTTACATCAAAGTAAGTAAAAGTGCCATCCCTATTTTTGAACAACTAAAAGGTATTATCTTTAAAGTTTTTAAAGCGTCAATATATCAAGGAATTTTTCGAATTGAAAATCGCTAAAGTTACACCGATTTTTAATGAAAGTTATAGAACTAATATTAGCAATTATATATCTGTTTCTGTTAAATCTATATTTTCGAAAATTTTAGAAAAAATAATATATAATAGAGTGTATAACTATTTACATTATAATAACCTATTATATAACAACCAATTTGGCTTCAAAAAACACAATTCTACTGAACATGCAATCATTCACGGCCGCATATCTTCCATTTTTTAAAGGGGAAATTAAGAGGCCGGTATTAAAGGTTTTAGACATAAAATACGCTAAAATGTTATTTTTAAAACCATTCTTTCTTCTGAATTTACTAACGTTTAAAGAATTTATATTAAAAATGATCAACAAATGTGCTGTACCAAAATATAGGGTAGACCGGGACGATTTCGCCACTTTTGCTGCTTTAATGTTGTCTGTTCAACCTGATATGCTTTTACCTTAAACCATTAACTGAATAATATTGAATAAACTATATTTAGTTTAACGACCGCATTTAAAAATTCAAAAAAAAAAAAAGAATTATTTATACACATGAACAACAATATGTACTGCACATTTATTAAAAAACTTTTTTTTCACTTTAATTAGTAGAAAACAAACAAACAAATTTAATCAGCCATTCGTATTCGTAAGGGCAATTGTAAAATGTAAATGTAAAAAGAGTTAAAGCTTTCTTTTATCAAATTAAGCACATTCTGTGCGCATGTCGATACAAAAGCAGACTTCACATGCCCATCCATGACAAGAAACGCATAGGAGCCAGTCTTTTGATGAATCAACCCATGCCAC